ATCAGACTCAGTGGGGATCTGGTAATGAGTGTCAGTTAATGTAATTCTACCAATCAGATGTTTAAAATATGTTTAGGTCGGTCGATGAGAAAGACTAAGGTCAAAGCCTCATCTCCCATGGTAAGAAGAGGATTGGAAGATGTCTTCAACATACATTGCTTTTTTGTTCAGATGAACCCTATGGAATTCCCTCAACTGTAACATTGTTGGATATCTTGATTGAAATTCCAATTTTCAGAAAGGACAGATGGCAGCCTTGATTATAATTTTTTAAAAGATTAAAATATAGCCATTTGAAACTGTAGCAACTGAGGAAATTAAACCACAGAGCTTCATCTGTGCAAGGTGTATCCAAAATAAAACACCCCCATGGGTACGAATTGCATTCCGTGCCACTGAAAGCCTTCTGTGTTTTCAGAGACATGGCAACAAAGAGGTGATCACTGGGTCCCTTCCCAACAAACACATTTTTATAACACATCACACCCAGCAAACTGTGCCACTTGTCAGCAGCAAAATGATGTTGGACAGATCAGGATTAACTCTCTATTTTAGGAGCAAGGATATCACTCAGTGTCTTTGAGTGACTTTAATGCTCAAACCACAACACTGTGAGGCAAACTGAAGTCATTACTTGCCACAAAAACAGGTAGCAGGCAAGTAGGGGCATTGCAGACTTTCCCACAGTTCTTTATCGATATGTCAGGGTTGTGACCCCAGAGAGCAAGGGCTAAGAGTGAGAGAGAATTAGCCAGTCAGTGGACCCCATTGAACCCTTGGTGCTGTTTTGAAGACTGCTAGAAAAGATGCCCACTCAAGTTAATTCTGATGTTTTTATTGTTGTAAGAGTAGCTTTTCACCAAAAGAAGAATTGAAAAAACTCTGTCATAGATTTGGTTTGATGATGTAGGTTCTGTAATGTTAATTCCCTTGGGCAATTTATTCTTCCTATTAAAAATCAATAGCAAAATAAATCGCCTTTATTATTTAACTAGATTATGGATAAATGCTTCTGTCCTAACATAACAGTTTTAAATGTCTATTTTATTGAAGTTATGTTCCACATATCTGGGTTTTTGCATTACAGAGATTCCATCAAAGAGATATACAAGTAGATTTACACTAAATATTCCTGATCATAAACTGTTAAAATCCACTTTTCATGTGGATGTTGAACGGGGTGTACAATTGCCATAGACTGTTCAGGTCACCCCTCATCCCGGGAAGAAGTGTCACCCTCCTTTCCCCCTTCCCATCCTAGAGTTGTACAATGACATGCCTCCTCCTTATTGCTCCCTTTACACTCTTTGGTTACCTTTATTACAGCACCTACAACCCTGCATGATAATTGTGGATTTACATGTCTATCATGCCTACTAAGTTTTATGTGCATGAAGAGCTTCGCTACATACATCTTCAACATATTTATAATTCTGGGGTGAACAGAGCAGACACTCAATAAGTAATGAGTGCTTCAAAAGGCATTCCTATTTCTCTCTAGGAAATTGTCAACATGGAAAATTGCAATGCTCTCAAGGAAGGCTAATATTCTCTTCTAGCTATTGTGGCTATTAAAGCAATCAGTTCCACGGCTCCCACCCTAACCCAGCACTGCTGCAATTTCTATCTTCCATCCAAATCCAATGCTCCATTTTCTTGCATTGCTACGGAGAGGGATGAGCTTTTTTTTTCCCCCCACTATGATGGGAGTGAAAGACCTATTGATACCTGCCTTAGTCTCATGACAAAAATGAGTGAGAGAAAGATAAGAGATTATATAATTTATGTTGTCAGATATTAAGGCTTCTCGGCTAAAAATTATCAGAAGCAAAATACCCTTCAATTTTGGGTGCTGCCTTCTGGTCTTGCACTTGTAGCCTGGTGGTATTGAATAACATTACATGGGACTGCTTTCTAGCGCTCCCTGGAGCTTTGCAAAATATAGTACACTCATATAGTACTCCATCCTGTAATCAACCATACAGCTCAGGTCCTCTCAGCAAGCAGAACAGCCTATCACAGGGTATAAATGGAATAACATGAGGTGAAAGGAAGGAATAATTAGGAGGCAATTAATGATTCAGTCCATCAGTGGTATTTTTCTGATTGTTTTGTTTGTGTAAGTGGCAGATAATCATGCCTGCGAATTTTAGGAACTGAAAAGCCAGTCATTTAAATCATTATTTAGCAACCTAGATAAGCACATTAGCTATATTTAGCCAGTTCTTTAAAATAAAACCATAGCATATGTGTTTTAGTGACAAGTTTATAGAATTTGATATTGTATATTTGCTGTTACTTTGGGTGAAATTAACTGATCACTCTGTGGCAGAAAGATGCTTTCTAAATTAGTGAAAATTGTTAGTGAAAAATTATTAATGAAAAATAACTCAGTGTACCAAGACCTAATGTTGGCATTCATTGCTTATACCATAAAATGATAATTTTAGGAGGATTAAATCAATGCAAATTACACATAAAATTATTTGCTCTCTTTACCTAAGTTTTCCTTTGTCAGATTCTAGAAATGTCCAATCCGAGCATCTTGCTGAATGCTTTCTGACCTTAAAAATTAAATAGCTCAGCTAAGCTCAAGAAATTATTTTCCATCTACAAATAATAGCATCAGGGCATATTAAGTTGTTCAGTATCGACATCTGCAAATCTCGTTGGTTCTACCTTCAAGATGTATCCAGAATCCAACCACTCCCACCACCTGGGTTGTTCTAATTGCTCTCTAACCATTCACCCCATTTCCCCCGTTGCCTTCTATCTTATTCTCCAAAGAGCACCCATCAGATCGTGTCACTCCTCAACTCAAATCCCCCCCAAACTCCCTTTTTCACTTAGAATGAAAGCCATGTCCCTTCAGAAGCCAACCACTCTCCTTATACCACGCCATCCACACACCCAATCTGTCCCTCTAGTCACACTGGCTTCCTAGTTAGCCCTGACAATATCAGGTATGGGTGCTTCTCTAGCCAATCTGCGGTCTGTTCCTCTGGGAATCCCAGGGCTCACTCCCTTGCAGTGCTTGTTTCTCTGCCTATATGTCACTTCCTCAGTGAGACTTTTTCCAAAGTTCTTTTGCAATTTTTTTTATGGATCACCATTCCCTATCACGTTCCCCATCGTTATTTTCCTGTACAGTACTTACCATCTAAAACATCATAAAATGTATTCATTGTCTTGTTCAGTGGAAGTTCCATGAGATCAGGAATTTAAGTTGATTTATACACTGCTATGTCCCCAACGCATAGAACATTGCCTGGTACATGATGAGCAATATATATTTGTGGAATGCATGAATCTGTAGTCAAAAATACCAAGCTTTTCCTCTATATTTAGCCTCAGAACTAATAAAATAGGGTATAGTTATTGGGGAAGGCTTTGCCTAGAGGCTTACATTTAAATATATTTCAAAAAGTATTTGAGCTTGCCTTTATATGCTTGTAGAAAAACTCTATGGAAGAAAATAAAGTTATTGATGTGTCAAATAAAACCCATTACACTGTGTTTGCCTGCACAAAATATTCTTTCTGTACACTGTCTTCCATGGTGTGCATGTGTTGGAGGTGAGAATGGTTAAAGGTAAGAGGGGTGAAGAAAGTGTGGGGGGAGACAGATATACAGATCCTAAACCACAAATAGAGTTCTCACCAGACCTTAATGTCTTCCAGTTCTCTACTCTTCCCTGAAAATTATCCCCAAAACTCAAAATTGAGAAGACTATCGTAATGTTAAATTATGGAGTTATCCTGGGGTATATGTGGCTGCTCAACTAGCACACGTGTATCAGATCATTTAAATATAAAATTAATAAATTTAAATCAAAGTTGAGTCAAAGGTTTTACAGCTCAGTTTGAAAATCACCCCATGGAAAGTAAACACCCTACTCTATGGGAATATGCAGCTTATCTGTCACTGATGGCTAGTAAATTCCTTCCCATTAAAATTTAATTGAAAATCTTCAGTGATATTTAAGCTTTTGCACAAGTGTAAACTACTGTGACTACAATTCACAATGTATTTAAAACAATTATTCTTTATCATTAAAGTTAATAATATGCACATTAACCTCTTATGTAGTCTAAATCAATATTGTAGTTTAAAAGATAATGACCTCTGGACAGCTTTGTCTAAATATTGATTACATTGTCATTTGTATAAGGTATCAAACACTACATCCTGCACTAATAACATTAATGCCAGCCCTGTAGAGCCTCTGACTTTGTGGGTTCTTATAATAGAGGACCTGGCACTATAGAATTATTGAGAATATTAGAAAACCTAATGGTCAAATGGGTAAGATTTGGCTATGGCAGAGCCCAGAAGCTGAAAATAAATGATAACTTCTAAATCCTTTACTTTCAGTGAACAGAAAGTATACTGCTCTTCGACACACGGGTTGGTTGTTGATGTTGTTAAGTTTCAAATGGCAGAATTTCTTCTGCCTGAGAGGGTCTAATTTATTTTCTGGTGATTCCATAGGTATCTGGAGAGAAACTAACTGAACCTTAGGTTAAAATGTTGTAGTTCTGCAGTACCGCAGTTTTTCCAAAATAAACTTGCTTAGAAATTCCTGTTACAAGTTCCGTACCAGTGAATCCGTTGAGTTGAAAAATATGTGCAATATTAAAAGCACTGAACACTTCAAATAGTCACCTCAGAGTGAATAAAACACTGATTTAGAGATGGACAGGAACATTCTCTCTCATAATTGACAGTATAGAATTATTTTTGTTCAAAATTCAAATTGAAATCCTAGCTGTATAATTTGACGTCTTTCCCCTTTTTTCAGGTTCTAAATTGTTCTTTAATGCTTGCTAACATCATCTGGTTCCATCTAACTCTATTTTGATGCTTTTTTTTAAGTATTAAAGTTTTTCTTCACTTTTTGTTTACCGTAAAACTTTTTGGAAAAGCTTTAGTGTCATGATCATGACACTGTGAAGGTGGGTACTATTTATAATAAAAATGTTCACCCGAATCTTTTGTAGGTAAAAGTGACCCATTTTGTGTCGTAGAACTGAACAATGATAGGCTGCTAACACACACCGTCTACAAAAATCTCAATCCTGAGTGGAACAAAGTCTTCACATTGTAAGTAGCCGTTACGTTGAGCTCATTGCAGAACTGGTGCAAAATCATATTTCCTTTGAGGGTTGCGTGTGTGTGAGTGAGTGCATGTATGTTTGTGTGTATGTGTGTTCTTCACTGACTCACAGCTCAGTGTATCACACCTGCCTTTGCTAACAACCTTTGCTCAGCTTGTACCTTTCTGAGTGAAACCTGGGGAAAGGAATGAGCCATTTGTTTTCTTGTTTTGTTTCCATATACTTTTGTTTTTAACTGTGCTTTTTGTATGACTTAACTAAGGGTTTTGCTCCCATCCACTGAATTGCCATACTGCCTCTTCCTTTTATATTTTCTATTGAAATTCTTCCCAACTGCATTGACACCAAGGAGGACAAAGCTCTATTTGTTCTATTGCTGAAATCAGCAAACAATCCGGTCACGAATTCGGCAGATGCTTTAGTTTTGGTTTGATTCATTTTAGCACAATAAGAATATTAAGTATTGTCCTAGATACCAAAACACCCTTTGAGTTAATTTTCCTTTTGTTTTAATACGTTTGTAATCTTTTCAATCATGTGCTGTAAAAGCTGCCAGTGCTGCTACACTATAGTATCTCCTAAGTTCGTTTTTTTTTTTTTTTTTTTTAAACTGGGCTTTAGAAATGAACTCTAAACAAAGGAAACTCTCTAAACAAAAGTATTACTTAAAAGTTTTCTAACATAGTTTTATTTTTTGTACATGAAAAAACTGCTAAACTCCTCATTAATTCCTTCTAATGTCTCTGTTGAAGAGCCAGTAACTAATCAGCTTTAATTATGGGACCAATTTATTTTTAAGGAATTTCACATTTTTATAAAAGATGAAAGCTTGGTCAGGAGACTTGCACTCCTAAGAAGGTTGTGGAGAGTGTTTTTTTCTGGAATGCATAATTGAATGAATAGGTTTGATTATTATCAAAGCCATTAATTGATTGTGCCCTGATAAAGCCCCTTCTTACATGTGGTTGTGGTTTTTCAGTAATGAATATATTCTCTCTTTTTTTTTGCTTTCTTTTAATTCATGTTTTCTGGGTAAGCAGTTTGATCAAAGAATAAATGCTGTCAACAATTTGCACTTATTTTTCTAAGAACAAAAATATGAAGAGCTCTCCCAGTTGTTTATTAACATTCGTTGTCTATGGAACATGACTTAATTTCTGAATTCCAGGGTGGTAGAATAGCTATTAATGTTACATCTTCTCCATTCTGTTTTCTGTGTTTGTTCATTTGTATTATAAACATAATAGAAACTAAGTCACTGTTTTGGGGAGAGCTATAAACAAAAAGGAGATATCCTGTTATTATAAAAAAATAATTGCTATGAACATATGCAATGACTTGCTAATATCAATGTCGGTGTTTTATATGGCTATTGTGGGAAGGTATGATTTATTGCTAGCATAAGGATAAAGAAAAGTCTCAGAAATAACAGGACCACCCTATTGTTTTTTCAATAACTTATTCTTTGCCTATTTAGATGGGAAATTAAGAAGTTATAGCTTAAAAAATTACAGTGAGTTTCCAAGTTCCAGATAATAGCACTATCACTGTAGTCAACTAGGGTGAATTATGGGAAGTTCTATAAGATACCAGGCTACCCTGTGTATATGCAAATAACACACACACACAGACACACACAATCAGCTGGAGCTATCTATCTAAATTTTCAAAGCCATTCTTGTTCTTGTTTCCCACTGATGAAATCTTTTTTTCTTGCACGTATTTGTCATACAGCAACATTAAAGATATCCATTCAGTTCTTGAAGTGACAGTTTACGATGAAGATCGGGATCGGAGTGCTGACTTTCTGGGCAAAGTTGCTATACCATTGCTATCTGTAAGTTTTGTTCACCTGACACACTGTTCTGTGTTGCTTTAGCTCAAGGAAAAAAAAAAAACCCTCAGCTCTGTGTCTGTCATTTTTCAACCAAGGTCTGTAATAAGAACACTAAAAATTTTAACATACTCAATTCACGGCCATGTTGAATCCCATGATAGTTAATTTTTCCTGACAGACTTGATCCTGGTAATGAACAGGTACTTGTCAGAATTGCCACAGTTGTTTTGGGTTCTCTGTCAGTTTCAGCAGCTGGGGGTCAAAGGTCACCGAGGGAGTGTATTCAGTGGAGACCGCGAGACAGACGGCTGTCATGTCCTTTTCCCGCAGATTCAAAATGGTGAACAGAAAGCCTACGTCTTGAAAAACAAGCAGCTGACAGGGCCAACAAAGGGGGTCATCTATCTTGAAATAGATGTGATTTTTAATGCTGTAAGTCTTAACTTTGGCTTTTTTGTACTGCTAAAGAGTTCAGTTTCATGAAAGCTTTTGTTCCTGATTTGTAGAGAATTTCTGTCATTCCTCATTTTCTCTAACCCTTGATGTATCCTGGAGAATACGCTTCTGCCATGCCTGGCACACCCACACTCTCTGTTAGAGTTGGCGACTGCTGCTGTGTCTCCGCTCTGGCTGCTCCTGCCTGCCTAGGAACGGGAACAGCACACAAGTGCAACTGTATACATTTATATTTTATGAGCAAGGCAGACAGGACTTCTGAACTTTAAGTAATTACTGCAAATTGAATTGTGTGAAAAACGTGTAAACGTTTGTGATATATTAATTCATAACCGACACATGTGTTGATGCATAGGTGAAAGCCAGCTTACGAACGTTAATACCCAAAGAACAGAAGTACATTGAAGAGGAAAACAGACTCTCTAAACAGGTAAAAAGCAAGGAAAGACTAATCTCTCTGGGAAAACCTGATTATATTTGCAAAACGTCTAAGTAAATTCAAATAAATTTGGATGTAGGAAGGGGGGAAAAGGATGGAATTTTTGATCATCGACTTATTGAAAATGGCTCCACCCCCCCCCGTTTCTTTCCTTTTCTCTCCTCATTCTTTTCTTTAAGAGATCAAACAAGGAAAATACCAAACTAATAAATTGATGGGGGTGGTCAGGAAGAAAAGGGGATACAGTAGGTACTGCTCTAAATGGTTATGTAGTCGTGCATTAGCAAAAGAACGGTCATTTTGAACATAAAATACAGTTTGATTGCCATGGGGTGTGTAAATGAGGACCCGAAAGGCTGAGGCTCCAATCTGGGCACAGGACCACCCACAGGTATGATGCAGGTGTGTGTAAAGTGAGCTCCGAAGAAAGCTCTTCCCTCTAATCCAGGGAGAGGGGGCTCCATCTTTTCAGGGGAGCCTTCCTGTTAATTAGATTTTAACCATGATCTTGCAGAAGTGAACTTTCATTGGCATTGTTAGCTAAGAAAACAGAAAAATCAAGAAATCTGATTTTTCTATCATGAAGGATTTTTAAGCTAAGTCTGATAGAAATCAATTATAACTTTAACTGTGGCTTGATATCAAGTTAAGAAAGTGCTAAGCTACCTCTTTTGGAAAATGCTTACATCCTATTAACAGAGGTAAAATAAAATATATTTATTAAGGTTATAAAGTTTACTGCACTTATTTGCACCTGGAAATATTTGATGATTTCCTTCACCATTAGAAGCCTACACATTATTTTAATCTAATAAATTCACCAAAAACAGTGGAATCTTTGAATGTTTAAAAAGATGGTGTATATGTTGCAAATGTAGTATCTATCTCAAGAGAGATGCAGACTACATTTCTCCATGATTATAGATAAAAATAATAAACATTGCTCTTAAAGGAAGATGATAGAAACCAGGATAAAAACAAACAGGGAAACACTTTACTTTGCTTGAATGGAATTTCACCTTTAGAAAATTTGTTAAAACTGGTGTGTATACCCATGCATCTATATTTACACACATTTTTGACTATTTGATCTCTAGAAACTTTACATGACCACTTCTTTAAAATACCAGATCAGTACTGAAGTATATTTGGAGTGTCAAAATTTTAACCTATAGACATATAATTAGTCTGTTAGTACATTTGAATGTAATTTTTTGAACCGTTACCTAGTGCATGGACTATTCTTCTTACCAATGAAGTCATGCTATAGTTTTAAATTTAAATTATATCAATTTTCATATATCTTTTAATAAAAGATTTATTGAAGCACTTGGTTACTATAAATATTTCTCTAACTCCAAAATGATGGACACTGAGAAAATATAGGTTGAATATAATGTGAGGGGGGAGATAGATAAATAGGTAAATAGATAAGATATATAGCAAGGAAGAAATCCTACTAAACTGGTAAAAACATTTTGTTTTCTGTAACAAGCAATACTTGACAGGTTTTTCTCTAAGACCCCTAGTAAAAACATTCCAGGTTATCCAATACACTTTGAAATATCTTGAAGCATAAACCTTTACTGAGTCAGTCTTAAAAGCACAATAAGATTTAAGAGGGTTAAATTAATAAAAGTCCATAGTATGTAAGAATGTTTCAATCTGTTAGGAAAAATTTTTATGAACAAAGAAGCCCAGCCTCCATAATATTATTTTTTAAAATATATATATATATATATTTAGTTGAGAAATTGCTTTATCAGTCCATTCTTTCCAGTTTCCCCAGAAATACTTTTTTTTTCTAACTTGTGAGTCAAATTGTTTGATATGTTCTTGTGATTTTATTAACTTTCTGAATCCATTTTAAATCACAGTAAGCTTGAAAAATTTTGCAATATAGTTGATCATCTTTAGTAATGTAAATTCTCATAAAGTTCTCATTTTTCTTACAGCTGCTGCTAAGAAATTTTATCAGAATGAAACGTTGTGTCATGGTGCTTGTAAATGCTGCATACTACGTTAATAGTTGCTTTGATTGGGATTCACCCCCAAGGAGCCTTGCTGCTTTTGTGGTATGATCATACTGTATTACTTACATTGTTATTCATTAAATTCAGTAATTGTAGCTGCATGTTTCTGTGGCTATAGTAACAGTTATGTTGATGTGGCCATTTTAAAACTCCTATTTTAAGACTTGACTGGACAGATTTGCCGTGGGCAGGGACCTGATGGATTGTTCAAGGTCTGAGTCCAAGAATACATTCCCCGCCTCAAATTTCCGGAACGAGAGACATTGCAGCCAATGTATAATTTTCTCTGTGACAGTTAAAAAGTAAAACTTTGCATATTGCATAACTCTAAGCACCAATAGGAGAACCAAGAAAAAAATCTCCGTGTGAAAAATAATAATAGTAATAGTCCTGACCATCCTCAATCTGATTGTATTCATTCTATAGTTTTGGACTTTTTATTCAAAATAGGAACATCATAGGTAGTATAATGTCAGTTGGTAAAACTTTAATATGTGAATCAGTTGGAAGTGGATTTGACCTGTTTTAGAGATGTTTTATTATTTTTGAGACTTTCCGGTTTTTAAAAAGTCCTAAGTGAGAATTTGATCAATTCAAATAGTCTTCTAATAGTGTTCATCGTGCAGCCTTTCACTTTATTGAAAAAGTGCTGAGGAGACCACCTGGCAGAACCAGAAAATCCAAAAGATACTTTCCTTTATGTGTTAGCTGGGATCCTCTCCTCCCACATTATGTTTGCTTACTCGGGGTTTCAGTTTGAAGTTTAAGCGGAGCCTTGAAAATGTTTATTTTATTTTCATGTTTGTTAGGATAGAGGTACCTTTCAGGAGGAGCCTTAATTATAGTAACAAATCCACATTTTAGTATCACCATTCTCAGGAATGTATGCACATCTGTTTTGTACTCTGAGCTCTGTCCTCTTAGACCTTGCATGGGACTTTCGTTAATGCCTGAGAACATGAACAAAGAGTATGTGCGTCCCTTTGTGTTGTAAGTTACCAGAAAGTTAGGCTGCCTGCTTCCCATAGACATGGTGTTGTCTCCTCGAAGAGAGTCATTAAGTTTTAGAAAAAGAAATCTCCTTCCCTCAGTACTCTTTTAGTAGCTCTCTCACATAATACATATATCAGGGTACTGTGGAACAAACTATTCTGATTTTTCACCAGCATGCAGGCACTGGGATTTTAATGAGAAAAAATGATATTGGGTTTCTGTGTCTATTTTATATCCTTACTTCCAGGTTCTGTGAGGCCTTTTAACAGCAACAAAATTCCACTGAAAAGGTCATACTGCCATTTTTGATTCACTCCTTCCAAAGTCATTCCCCATAGCTGTTTATGAAATTTGAAAACAGAGAGATTTACCTAATGATATTGTTTGTTGAGGAACATTCATTTTGAATTCTTTAGCATTGCATTGTGTAAGTCTTCCTAAAATTAATCTGGCTTCTAAGTTTATACGAAGAGACTTATGTCAAATGAATTCAAGATGGCAGCCCTTTTTCACAATTTCCTTGTTTCTAAAAAATAATAAAAAAAAATTACAGGCACTAGAATTCTGAGAACCTTACATACATGTACCTGATATCACTTGAGTCATTTCGAGGGAAGAGGGACAGACTTCACTGGGAAAGAAATGTCTAATATCTCTCTTATCTGTCGGTCGGTGTGTGACAGATTCAGTCCTACCATGCACAAGCTGAACGCAAGAGGCTCACACAAAGAGGAGAGCCGCACAGGAGAGGTAGGGAAAGGACCTGCAGCCAGGGAGGGAGATCGAGAGGCCACCAAGGACAGTGCGAACTCACGTTAAGACTACTGTGGAGAAGAAACAATAACAGGAACTGTTTCGTTGGCAGGAGAGAAGGGGCTACACGGCCTTCTATTGAATTGATTGAAACAAAACCAAACTTTATTTATTTAGGCTTGAACAGGACGTCTCATGAGAATGGAGATCCTGCCTTTATCACCCTGGTACTCCAGCGTATCTGCAGAGTATCCAGAAGTTAGAAAGTTCCCGATAGGAATGGCTAAGTCAACTGACCAATTAATGAACCATTCACTCTGAAAATTTTTTTTATGTGGGGAAATTCACTCTTTAAAAATGCTTGATAAATGTTTACTCTAATAAAGCTCATTACGAAGCCATGATAGACATAGCTTAATACTTTTGCAGCAATTTTCCCTATAATTTCCATTTGAATTCTAAACTATTTCATAATCTTTTATCAGTCATCTGTTTAACCTCCGATTAAATTCTGATATGAAAAGGTTCTTCTATAAAAAGAAAAACTAACATCTATTAAGCTTTTACTATTTGCCAAGGAACTGTTTTTCACCTGCAGATGCATGCAAAATGCTTTCATTCATTAATGAATTTCATCTTTCCAGCATCTCATGAGGTAGATACTGTTATTTTCCCAGTATACAGAGGAAGAAACAGAGGCATAGCAAAGTTAAGAAGTTTTCCCAATGCCACACAGTAGATAGTATTTCTTTCCCAAAAGAGATTTTAGAATATATACCTTGTAATTTTCATATCTTTACAATTCAGGGAAAGAAACTGTATTAGGCTTTGTGTTCATCTTGTAGATATTAAATGATACATTTAAAAACGGAATATCTCAAAGATTCCCATGGCATAGCTGGAGGCTTTTTAGACCAGAGTAGTGAAAAGAACTGCTTTCCATTAGGAGGGAGTTTGAGCAGCTCTCCATTGTTGGGAGCATATTGTTCCCATCATGCCCTGTTGATGGATCATGGGTGTATTATTATAATATTGGTTCCACTTGGCCCACTTTTTCATAAAAGCAGCTGCCTCCCCGAGCACATGCATTTGTACCATTATCCGGCTTGGTTTTAGGCCCAGATTCGTCAACTTTAGAATGTTTAAGTGTCTTTTTTTTTTTTTTTCTATTCCATTTTCTTTTTTTTCTAATT